ACGGAAAATGTTTTCTATTTGGTATATTCATGTCACTAACAGACACACCTACCCCCTCCAGGTCAAATTCTCTCATGTCTACTTCCATTTGAAGCTCTTCTGCATAAAGAAGTGTTTGAAAACCTAGCGGCATAAGTCTTTAAGGTCAGTGGCTGAAACAGAAAGGTGCATTAAGCAGGAGTGAGCAGAGAGGCTGTATCATCAACAAGAACATTGTTGTACTGGTTCGGAGCCAAACTGGCCCGCACTGTTGGAGCTTGTTCCCGGTTTCTGAAGCATGAAGCAGACTAGAAGTATTGCTACTCCCCCTGGAATTTTGTTAGGTTGCCCTGGGTGGAGAGAGGCACTGTGAGAGTCAAGTGTCTTGCCCAAGAACACAACACAGGGCTCAAACCCGGACCGTTTGATCTGGAGTCCAACACGCTAACCATTAGACCACTGCGTCTCCCACATTGTTGTACACTACTGAGTGACAATAAAAACAAGTTGGCACACAAGCTCATTACCCGAAACAGCCTCAGCAACAAAATTTAATATACGGGTATGCTGTATCAAGAATATTATTTTAAAAACGTTTTTGTCACCACACAATACCCGGGGTGTCTAATCGAACAAAATCGAACAAAAAACAATCGAACACCAATCGAACAATTGGTGTTCGATTGCGTTCGGTAATCGAACATAATCAAACATCTAATTTTGTGTGAGTTCGATTATCGAACAAATTGAACCAATCGAACAAAATCGAGCTCCATCGAACAAAATTGAACTCATTCGAACAAAATCGAAAGCAATCGAACTGAATCCGGTTCGATTTTGTTCGGACTGCATCTCTTGAAGATTGAGTTTTGATTGCCGACCGACCTCGATAATCGAATGTTCGATTGTGTTCGATTGACAAATTTTTTTTGTGAGTTTGATTATGTTCGATTGCCGACACAATCGGACGATTGGTGTTTGATTTTGTTCAATTGCCGAACGTTCGATTAGACACCCCGGGACAATAACAACAGTTTATGTACACAGTCTCTGATTAATTGCCAAGAGTGAGAAGAAACCATAGGCTGAAGCATGCAAATGGACTCATAGATGTTTCTTGTGTAGTAAGTACTCTGCTCTATTTCTGAAAATCTCTTTAGAATAAATGTCCCTACTATTATTTCAGAGCTTGTACCTCTCTCAATGCATGGACAATAGAACCCAGATCTCCACCATCAAGAATACATCTCCGTATGTCTCTTGGAATATTGTACTGTGAAAGCTTCACAGGCAGGAAAAGTTTGCGTTTCCTACAAAATAATATTAGAAGGAAAGTTTCATAAAAAAATGGATTATTCTTATATACATTGTATATTATTTTTGATGTGTATTCTTTCACCCAACGCAATGACTCTGCAGGCCAGTGTTCGAACCCAAACTACTTGATATGGAGTCTAGCACGCACTAACACTAACCATCAGGCCACTGTGTCACTCCCAGAGTTCAAATTTTGAGTCAATAAATGCGGTTGTAACTTTTGAGTCTGTGGAATGAAACCCTAGTGTGTGACCATTCAAATGAAAGCTATTGAGCAGTACTTTCAAGTGGTACTGTTTGTTTTGACAATTTTGCAAAATGAAGTTCAAGGATTTTCCCCCTCAGTTTTGAACTTAGCACTCTTGGGAATGAAAGGGTTCAAGTAATAATTTTATAGTACCTTATTGGCTTTTCTCCTGGCACGATCCAGTCTTCTCCAGTGTTGCTGTCAGCAACCTTTCTCCAAGCCTGTTTGGTTCGGTTGTACGACCGCTGATAAGGTGCTGATGGCCTCAGAACAAGCCTGTCGAGGGTCCTCCACATTGGATGTAACATGTCGTCCAATCTCAAAGCCTCCAAAATTGAACACTAAAAGGTGATTGACGTCTGCCAAGGTTTCTGAATACCAATATTGTTTAATAAATTGGTTAAATTAAATTGGTTATATCGGTTAAATTCTGTCAGTGACACAAGCTACTCAAAAAAAATTCAGAGTTGCCCACCAACAGGAGACAGGTACAGTAATGACCTTCCACGGTCGGAACGCTCTTCCACTGAGCTACAGGAAGTTAAATTCTGATTGAAATTCAGAAACCCAAGATATGTTGGGTAGATGTTTTTCATACCAATAGCTAGCATTTAGTCCATGTCAGATTGCTCAAACAGCCTTGTAGAACTTAATTAAGATTTTCTCCCATTAAATATTAGGTTGTGTTCTATTGGGATCAAAACCGTTTCAACCGCAACCGGTTTAGGTTGAAATGGTTGAGGTTTCCCAATAGAACACTTTTCCAACCGTTTTCGGTTGAAATGGTTGCAACCGTTTCAACCTAGTTTTGATGCCGATTGAAAAAGTTTGATCAACCAAACCAAATGAAAACGTTTTTTTTCCTAATAGAACACGAAAAAACCCAACCAAACCAACCAACCTAAAACGGTTGATCACAATAGAACACGGACAATAGTATACAGTCAACTCTCTCAAAGCGGACACCGACTGTAAGGTGGACACCTCCCTAAAGCGGACATGTTTGGCTGGTACCGATCTGAATCAAGAACTTTTACTCTTATTTTTCTGTAACAAAACTCTCTATAAGGCAGACACCTCTTTAAGGCAAACAGCTAGAGCTGGTCCCGAGGGTGGTCCACCTTAGAGAGAGTTTACTGATATATATTTATTTTTATAATTTTATTATGTAAATAAGAAGCATAACTTTTGTTATGTGGCCTCATACTTTGCATTGAATACAATGATGACTTGCTTGGCTTGATTAGGAGGAATTTCCATGCCTGGTGCTAACAAAGGACCCTTGGAGTAACAGATCCTCGACAGCCACAGATCTATTCCTCTGATGGTTCTCTTTTACATCTGATTGAGTGGAAGGCGTGTTGGCCAACTGGACAGAAAATTGAGGATCGTCTCTGACTGAAGTACAAGACTGAAATATGTGTCCTTTTTCACCCTTGTTGCTGTTAAACAAGATGTATTTATTTAGTAATTTAATGTTAAGAATACCTATTAAACCACTAATTTGTTATTCCAGGAGTTAAAAGAAAGCCTTAAATTCTCACACAACCATAAACATTAATATTTTGATACATGTAACAATATTACTGGTACCGGTATGTTTATTACAATCTTTTATAAACAAACAAGGCCCCATTCATACTGGTGCCCGTGCCAGGTTCTCGGACATGGGCACCAGTCTGAACATAGCTTTTTGTTGGTACCCAAGCAAAAATCTGGGCACCGTGCCCGGGTACTCTACCTCCAGGGGTAGTACTCAGGCACCATTCCCAGGCACTTGTCTGGACAGGCTTTAGTCAGTTCCTGCACTTTTTCTCCATGCTTCCCTGCGATCTCAGTCACCAAAATGGCGACGGATGCTAAAGGCCGTTTTACACGATACGATTTGTCGGCCCGATTTGATAAGAAAACGACCGAGCGATACGAAAATTGGCCCGATTTTCATCCTCGCTCTATATCGATAAAAGAAAAATCGGCCCGATAAATCGTAGCGTGTAAATGAGCCTTACGAGTGTGCCGACAGATCGGGCCGACAAATCGTAGCATGTAAACTGGCCTTAAGTGGACCAATGAAGAAATCATCATCAAGTGTGAGCATGCTCAGTCCAGGGCACTGAACGGCGTCGGAACTTCTGACCATTTTAGTGCCTGGGCATGGTGCCCTGGAATGGGTACTTAGCCTGAACGGGCCTAAGGCTATGTTCACACTTGGTGCTCGATCAGGGCACCGGCACAAAAATGGTGCTGTGTTCACACACTGATTACCCAAGATATCGACATGTTATCCGTGCCCGAATTCTGGCATGGGTACTTAATGAAAAAAGGTGTGTTCACATTAGTGCCGAGCAAGAATCGTACTCGGGCACCGTGCTCGGCCACCAAGTGTGAACACGTGTTAACATACCATGTAATTTGTTTATTAATGTTTGACAGGGAACTCCGTGCCTGGTCAGTAATTAATAAATTGATTAATTATTAATTAATCATTTAAATAAATGAGATAAATTTACGCACTATTATTATCATCATTAACCAAATCATACAGAATTAGCAAGAAATAGCCCTTACCTTATCCAGACAATCATAGATTTTGATTCTCCTACCATGACACTTCCCAAGTCCAGCTGATCTGTTATTGTTAATCCTTCTTTGTTTCTCATCAGCTCTGCCATTCGTCCACCCATGAACATTTGACTGTGTTGGAGATGGGCTGTTAAAAAATAAAATGTCTCCATTTCAGATGCGGTGGCCTAATGGTTATCACATTGGCCCGGGGGGGGGGGGGGGGGGGGGGGGGGGGGGGGGGGGGGGGGAGGGGGGGTACTCAGGTACTCAGGTATACTGTAATAGTGACAGGGAGGCTTGAAGACCTTTTTGGGGTTTAAATTTGCGATCTGAGGACTTTTGGGGGGTTAGAAAATATATTAATTTTGTGGTGACTTTTTTGGGGTGAAAGATTTTGGTAAGGACTTTTTTGGGGGTTGAAAATTTTAATGCAGAGAAAAAGAGGACTTTTTTGGGGGTTACGTTCTGGGTCGTTGGACTTTTTTGGGTCTGGTTTTAGCCTAATAGGACTTTTTGGGGGTCTAACAATTTGACCTCATTTGAGCCTCCCTGTCACTATTATACCTGAGGGGGACTCTGGGCACGTTGGACTCTGGATCAAGCAGTCTGGGTTTGAGCCCTGGACGCTGTGTTGTGTTCTTGGGCAAGACACTCACAGTGCTTCTTTCCACCCATGAGTATAAAAGGGTACTGGCGACAAATGCTGGGGGGTAACCTGCGATGGACTAGTATCCCATCCAGGCGGAGTAGCAATACTCCTAGTCGGCTTCATGCTGCAGAAACCGGGATAAGCTCCGGCTGTGTGGGACAGTTTGGCCCCGAATGGCTTTACCTTACCTTACCTTACCCAATTAGTGTATGGCAAGAAAAATATGAGAGGATCGTAGGTTATTGTGTTGGACTGTGCCTATGTACTCCCACAAAGGAATGTAAAAAGATAATACACACCGTTAGGCACCAAAAAATGTTGAGGTGGGGAGAGGGGAGAGGCAGAGAAAGGTGCACCCTGCAGTGGACTTGCATCATACAGTATCTAGCCAAGGGGAGTAACAATATTCCTAGTCGCTTCACGATAGCGTGTTTTCACATGACATCATGGCGGCCATATTGGTGTTCCAAACAATGAATTTTCTCTCCGTTGCGAAATGATTTATATTCTTATGCAAAAAATTCCTATTTGTTTGAGGATGCCAATATTGCTGCCGTGAAAATGCTTGACCACACCAGCAGTGACGACTCATTGATGTCAGATCAGTATGGAATTTCTGGGTATAATCGCAGATGCTCTCTCTCATAAAATGCCCCAAGCAACCCATCAGCGATGACAGGTGGCTGTA